GCAATGACGCTCTGCGTGTATGCATGTCTTTAAAAGGGAGAAGATGGGCGGCCAAACCCGGTGCTTGGGACGGCCTTGGGCACGTGTCCCTTGGCCAGTGACGGACTGCGAGGGCAGTAATCACCGTCGGGTACTGCCGCCGCTGACGTATATAGTTACGTTACTTTGATACAAATATGGGCACTTACTATACCGCTTTATTTCGTTATCATTCCCCGCGCGTATATGGGCATCATGGATGGGATGGGGACGCTTGGTCGTTCTCGTTTCAGAGATTTGGCACTCGGGATTTTGTTTCTTGGTCTGCAGAGAATCTGGGGCTGACTTTGTCGCTCTAGTCATCTCTATCACCCTGTCATCACCAGACGACCCTCCCGTTGGGGTTATCCTATTTCCTGTTGTCCGCTGGGCTCAGGGACCTTCTTACATTCCTCTCCAAGACGCCGATTGGAGGGATCTATACGATCTTGGAGAACACGATAACGAAGAGTTCTTCCATCACCAAGAGAATTGGACTCCAGAACTTCGATCTCTATTCGGTGATCCTCCCTATATCGAATTCCCCTCTCTTCACTACCAAACCGCCGACGTTATCGAGTATCTCCCCACCATGTCGGGAATCGAGAAACTCAACAACTCCATTCTGAGTGTCTTCGATGGCACCAATTGGAATACGTGGTCGGACAACTACATGAGCATCTGCATGCATCAGGGCACCTGGGGAGTGGTTAAACCCACTCATATTATGGTTAACGGCACATCTACCTCGAACCCTGGTTCTATGGAGCGTCCTGGAACGACTGGTGACAGCCAGTATCAATGGGACGTTGCCAATGAAAAGGCACTGGGTCTTGCGCGGGTTTATATCACCCAGAATCTGCGCAAGGGAATCTTTATGGACGGTCAGCGGGAGCGCACTGCGCGTGAGGTTTTTGCGAAGATGGCGACGGATTATGGCCAACCAAATGCCATCGATGCTTTCGTCGAGTACCGCCTCCTGAACACCACCACCTTCCACGGTGGTGATACCATTGAAAAGCAAATCATGGAAATGGAGACTCGTCGTCGCCAGTGTTCGGAAGGAGGAATCGAGATCCCCGACTACCTCTTCGCAACTCTAATGCTCGCCGCCTTGCCCGTTTCCAGCAGAGGTTTCGTCACCTCTTACCTGGCCAATCGTCCTATCGCTTCTCTGAACCCAGTCGATGTCAAGAACAGCGTCATAGGGAATATCAAAATCGAGAACCTCGACACGACGTCGAACTCGAAGATTTCGACCGTTCCGTCCCTTGCCACCCGCTGCACTCATTGCAACAAGTCTGGTCACGTTGCGGCATCCTGCTACAAGAAGTATCCCAACCTCAAGCCGACTGGTCAATCTTCTGACAAAGGCAAGGGGAAGCAGGATGAGGGGAAGAAGAAAAAGAAGAAGGAAAAGAAGAGCGGTGATGGTACTAGCGCTGTAAAAGAAGTTGTAGCCGCTCCCGCGGTTGCAGCTGCCTCCAATGGAATGCACATTTCGTCCTATCTCATGAGTGACTCCCTCAAACACATTGATGATGGAATTTTTGTTGAAGAAATGGGAGACGACTCCAAAATTCGTTTTCTATGGGACTCGGGTTGTACGCATCATATGACAAACACCCGATCTGATCTTCACAACATCAGACCTATCGACACCTATGTAATCGTTGGGTCGGGAGCTCGCTTCAAGAATGAAGCCGTTGGAGATATTGTGTTGCGGGGTCATACTAGTAGTGGCATCGACTACACCTTCACGCTGAAGGATGTCATCTACAACCCGCACATAAGAGGGCGTTACCTTTCTGGATATGCGCTCGATCAGGCTGGTTACTACACCGTGGTTGGTGACAACAAGGCAATCCTAGTCACCAAGGATTGGCTCAACAAGGGAAAAGCGCATGGGGATGTCTTGATGACCTTTAAAGCAAGCAATCGCTGCTACTGGTACTACCCCGAGGAGCTCGTGGCACCATCTGTGTCTGCATCTCACGAGTCTACCGCGCTCGCTTCCCTGGAAACTACCGATCGTGAATTGTGGCATAAGCGTTTTGGTCATGCGGCTCGGAGGACCCTTACTCACTTGCCGACACAAGTTGAAGGTGTTCCCCCCTTGCGACGCAATAAAGACCAGCGCGGCATGTGCGATGGATGTATGCTTGGAAAACAGCACAAGCATCCGTACCCTGCATCAGAGAAACGTGCTAGCAAACCCCTCGAGCTTATCCACACTGATTTGATGGGCCCCTGGCCTACTCAGTCGTTGGAAGGTTCACGCTACACAATTTCGTTCTACGACGATTTCTCGAGCTTTGGCATGATGGTGTTCATTAAATCAAAGGACCAAGCCTCTACTGCGATTAAAAACTTTGTTGCCCTTACAGAGCGTCAGCTTGGCACAAAAGTACTGGCCTTACGGTCAGATCGTGGAGGCGAATATATGTCCAATGAACTCACAGCCTGGCTCAATGCACGTGGTATTATGCACCCTAAGTCCGCGCCACGCGAACCACAGCAAAATGGGAGGTCTGAACGTTGGAATCGCACAGCCTACGAGAAAGCGGAATGCATGCGCCTCGATGCCGGCCTATCCAAAGGCTTCTGGCAATGTGCTATGGATGCATCTGTCCACGTTCATAATAGACAACCTATGGCACGATTGGGATGGCGAACACCTGCGGAACTGTGGCTTGGAAAGAAGCCAGACGTCTCTTATTTCCGTGTGTTTGGATGCAAGGCGTCTCTCTATGTGGATGTTGAAAAACGCCCGAAAGGGTTGGAGCATGGACGCCCCGACCACATCTTCGTTGGATACGAACGAGAGACAAAAGCTTGGAAAGTGTGGGATCCGAATCAACGCAAGATACGAGTCTCTTCAAATGTTGAATTCGATGAGCGAGTATTCCCTGCCAAGTCCAAGCTAGTCACCGGCAATGTGTCCTCTGGACCGGAGCCGTTCACACCATTCGAGGAAACCTTCCCTGACCTTATCAATAATCCTGCGCCTGCAACGCCTTATGCAAGCATACCACCTCCTGCTCTCCCACCGCCACCGGCACCCCTCGCGCAACAAGGTCCTGTCACGGGATCGCGAGAAGTACCCCTAATGCCTGGCCCAATAGACGACCGCCCGATTGCACATCGCCGCCCTCGTCGAAATAAGCCCCGCATTTTGCCGGATGGAACTACGTATCAGAGGCCTAGCAGCATTGAGTCCATGTTGTCAGCTGCCCAAGCTGAGCATGACTTGCCTCAGAACGTGCGGGACGTAGCAAAGAGCCCGGATGCACTCAAGTGGGAGCGCGCAATGCGCGAAGAACTGGACTCTCTCGAGGAAAACTGTACTTGGGATTTGACCAGCCTTCCACGCGGTCGAAAGACTGTCAAATGCAGATGGGTGTTTAGCAGGAAGCGTGACGGTCGTTTCAAAGCACGACTTGTTGCCAAGGGATTTACTCAGGTTCATGGGTTTGACTATGATGAGACCTTCTCGCCAGTATTGCGCTATGAATCTCTGCGCATACTTATGGCTCTGGCTGCTCTCGAAGATTGGGAGATTCATGCCATGGATGTCAAAACGGCATTCCTAAACGGGGATCTGGAGGAAGAAATCTATATGGAACTTCCGGAATTACCCAAAGGTTTCTCGTCATGGCCAAAAGAAAAGGTGGCACGCCTTCGTAAATCACTCTATGGGTTGAAACAGGCGTCTCGTCAGTGGAATATTAAAATCCACAATGCCCTCCTCGAACTTGGTTTTGCTCGGACATACTCCGACGCCGGTGTCTACACATATCGCCAACAAATGGGAGATACGGTCATCATCTTGGTGCTGTATGTTGACGATATGCTCATTATGGGCAACAATCTGCCGGAGATAGCGCGTATCAAATCCTTGCTCGCGAATCGCTTCAAAATGACAGATCTCGGTCCTGCGAAGGATTTCCTTGGTCTGAACATAGTTCGTGATCGCAAAGCGCGTAAAATCTGGATCGATCAGGCTTCCTATATCGAAGGAGTTCTAGAACGATTCCGGATGTCTTCGTGTAAAGAAGCTCGTACTCCCCTGCCTTCCGGCATCGTGCTCGAGAAGCATGATGGAGAAGTTGATGAAGACCGTCGTACCCGATACCAGCAACTGATTGGCAGTCTTCTATACGCCATGCTTGGTACTCGCCCCGACATTGCCTATGCAGTCATCCGTCTATCAAAGTTCAACAGCAACCCGTCAGAACATCATTGGAACATGGCAAAATACATACTCCGGTACCTTCAGGGCACCAAAAACTACCAACTTTGCTATGATGGTTCCACTGGCGCAGGCCTTATCGGTTATTCCGATGCTGATTGGGCGGAGAACAAAGACGACAGGCATTCAACCACGGGATATTCCTTCTTCATCGCCGGTTGTGCAGTGACCTGGGTTTCTAGACGCCAACCCACGGTCGCTTTGTCCTCAACAGAGGCCGAATACATGGCTCTGAGCGATGCTACGCGCCAGATTGCCTGGATCCGCACTTTGTTGACTGAGCTCGGATATGACTTGCCATCCACGCCTCTTTGTGTTGATAACCAAGGCGCTATTTTCATGGCAGTAAATCCAGTTCATGATAGGAGGACGAAGCACATCGACATCCGCTATCACTTCGTACGAGAATCCGTCGAAGCTGGCAATGTCCAACTTTACCATGTGCCGACTGATGCGATGATCTCAGACACGCTCACAAAGTCTTTGGCATGGGTGAAGTTCCAACAACATCGGCTGTCTTTGGGTCTTCGTGATCCGACTGTTTAGTCGAGTGGGAGTGTTGAAGCTTGTTTGTATTAGCGACTATCACAGTATGTAGACATGACATCATAAGTAGTATTCTTAGATTACTTTGGCTCGCTCCACAATGACCTCATACCTGACCTCATTATTGCGTCATCCATTACTCATCTATGATATCATTACTCCACTATGACATCATGATATCTGCTCCAGACTGGTATATAAACCTAGTACTATACGCTCCATATCCTCAGCTCCTGTGTCTCTACACTCGCTGAGGTATGCATTCTCTCTTACGATCTAATGACCTTACTTATGACTTGTACCATAGACTCTGTCTTCTAGGTACAGCTAATGATATAGCTCCTGTGTCTCTACACTCGCTGAGACTCTGTCTTCTAGGTGATCGCTACTGGTCGTATCTCCACTGCGCGGTATTGTCTGCGACACCTTAAGCATAATGTAGAGCTGCTGTTGCAAAAGCAGGCCAGAAGAAAGGAGATCGAGCAATTGATTACTTCGATATCTAAGTGCCAACGAAGGCTTCAACTACGGCTCCGCAAAACCAAGACTGGGCACAATAGCGTCCTCCTCCTCTTCGGGGGGCAGATCCAGCTCGTCCTCTTCCTCTTCCTCGTCGTCCTCTCCACCATCATCCTCGTCCTCGTCTCTTTCTTCCTCGGAGTCATACAGAGGTGGTGGAATGATCGGCCGCTCATTGTCCGAATCATCGTCTTCGTCACTCCATTCTTCGTCATCGTCCAATCCGTGGGTGTCGATTTTCTGATGTCCAACTCCACCGCCAAAGTATCGCAGAATCATATCACGATCAGCAAAACTGAATTCGAGGTGTGAGCATGAAGTATTGCCGAGCACAAAGTTACTGCTCACATATTTACAAAGAACGCTTCCCAGTCGGAGGTGTCATCGGAAATCCGCGCAGCCGTTGGGTCCGTCGTCTCCAAAAGAGAGTTAGTTTGGCCGCCGTCGAAGTCGGGGATCAGATGTGCACCGCGGAGGACGCGAGCCGGATCGAGAAAGCCGAAAGCATACTTGTCTGTCTCGGGCACATAGCCAACCTTGGGCAGCGCGGCACGGCGAAATCCAATTGGAGTTCCAGGCACCGGGCCAAGCCAGCGAACCCAGAGGAATTCCATTCGTCGGGGAATACGGTCAGCATCTGCTTGCATCTTCTCCTCCCTGTTCAAGTCTTTGTATTGCCCTGCCTGCAGCTCTCGAAAGACAACAGCAGAGAAGACTCCAATAACTTGCGCGTACCAATAGGGATCCGGCTGCTCAACAGCAGACATCACCATGACAAAAGGTTGTAACCGTGGATTCAGTGTCTCGGTGTCTCGTCGTACATCGTATGTGGTGTAGTTGATCCGGATTGTCTTTGAACGGAGGATGCGATTGCCGAGAAGTCGGACGGTATTTCGATCGGCATCAGAGAAGTCGTCGTGGTCATCTGCATCGAATTCGCGCTCAACAAAGCGAGCAAGTAAGTGATCTTGTAGTTTGGGAATGAATTCCTTCGCGAATGTCAGAGACGCGGAAGACCGGACTAAACTACAGCGTGAATTCAATCCGACTCACCAAGAAGGCCGGGTCAGAGCGGTTTGTGCGGAAGTACGTGTGCGTGTCGAGCGGGTACTTATTACTTTTCGAGGTCTGATGGTGCAAATTGAGTTGCTCATCTCCTAGCGAGTCGCGTTGGGAGATGCCAATAACGTGCTGATGAGTCTTCTTCCATAGTGCTCCGTGTGCTCGGGCCCGTTGAAGCCGTATCACCCGACGGCCAATCTGGGCCTCAAAACCGCGCTTGTTTGTGACGGAGTAGAATCGTTTGATTAGTCGGTGCAGACTCTCTCCCTATAACGGTCAGGCTCTCAAACCAATTCGTCCACAAGTGGCAGATGTACTTACTATTTGTGTCGAATAACCATCGGTAGGACCAAAATCCAGGATTGTCGTGACATAATCACCCATCGCATGTGTCTTGTATGTATTCAGGTTGAGCGTCTTCTTGACACGCCCTGCGCCTGTGCCTGCCCGACGAACAGGCGGAGGCGCATCTGGATCAGCCTCTCGTGCACGAGTAACCGCATTCTCATGCCGCTTGTTCCGAGCTGCAGTCTCCTTTGCAAGCTCATACGTCTCGAACTCAGCGCAAGTAGTCTTGGTGAACTCCCGGAGCAGAGCTCCGAGCTGAGGAGTGAGGGTTTCGAGATGATTGATGGTACGATCAGTGTGCATCCGCAGCTTCGCAAACGCTTGCCATTCGGCCATCCGGAATAACAGTCTGCACACTCGACGGTCATGCTTGCCAGGGAAGAGGCCCGAGAACGCAGGGATGGCGCACTGTAGGAGGTCTTCGAAGTCGCGAGCGCCCAGCTTCTTCATTTCGGAAGGATTTGTGAAGAAGCGACGGATGGTATCACGTCCGAAGCGAGGCATTTGACGATAACTTCAAAACGCAGACATAAGTTAGAGTGTTTGTGACAAAATGGGAAGCGACAAACCGAGAATCAAGCGTGCCAATGAGAGACTGACCACCAGGCTGTGCTTCGAGCAGACGCAGAAGATGTATGAACACATTTTTCCAGACACCCAGTTCGAACTCGTGCATGAGATCAACTACGAGCATCCTATGAAGCTCGAAATCATCACCCAGACTTTCGAGAAACGCATTCTAGCAAACGATGTATGAGAACAAGAATTGTCGGAGATAAACTGAGACTTGCCATTGTAGGAATTGATGACGTCTTGAGTAAGTAATCCTCAACGTGATTGGATTTTATCGGGAGGGCGAGCTTGTAAATAAAATCTCGGGCTGTCTTTACATCTGACTTTTCAAATTTCCTGGCCTTCGTCTTTCGATGCTCTGTATCCCGTTTCTGGCCAACACGGTGCAGATCAGACTTCAAAATGTAACATCTTGGGCATGGACAGTTGCCGTTTTCGCGCATGGACGCTAACAGAACCCTTTGACTTGGTGAGAAACAATGATGGATTGATCTCGAAGTTCACTCACTTTTCTGGGTAGTCTGCAGAGTACGTGAAGAGACGAGGATAAATTCGACGTTCAACCCCGTCTGCACACTTGATGACGATACCGTAGTTGTACGCATGCTGGAATTCAGGATCTTTGAGCAGCTCCTTCAGAACCTCTTGCATGAGTTCTCGTTTGAGATGCGTCTTGATGTCCTTGTTCTGCGATCCCCACTTCTTGTGGAATTTGGCAACGAGCTCTAAAACACTTGCCGGAAGCTAGGGATCGTAGTCAGCATCTCCGGTCTTCTAACACTTTGCTCTTAGAACACACCTCAGGTATGAATGCTGCGTAGTGTGCCGATCCTGAGCTTGGATGTGCACGGATATATTTCGAGAGGTTTCCGAAGTGAATATAGAGCGGCCACATCTTCGCGGGCCCAAAATTGGCCAGATGAGTTGAATCCGACCAGAACATCAGCGCAGCCACAATCTTCTCAAGCTTGCATTTAGGCGCATCGGGAGGAAGCTTGCCGCGAAGACGAACATTATCATGCTCAGCAATGAATACATTCGAATTGTAGAGCTCAGAGAAGATCCGTACAGGATTCACAGGATCCTTGAATGTGCAAAAGAGTTTGAAGGGTGAGAAGTGGAAGTGCTCGCCGAGAGGACCGGTAAAGGCCTCTGTGATGATAGTGGTGATCTTCCGCATAAGCAGACCAGGAACAGGGATGAATTTGGGAGGGACATCTCGTGAACCAGAGGGAACTTCAATCTTGACGGTCCGGGCCTCGAAATCCCGAAGTAGCGGATTGTCCTTCTCGAAGGACTTGTCCAATCGAGCACGAGCATCACTTGTGCGCCAATTCCGCTTGAACTCTGCGGGATCGAAGCCCGGTTGTTGGATCACGTCGTGCACCAGAGCTTCAAGCTCTCCATCTGACTTCTGTACGTTCCCGTTATCGTTCCATCCAAACAGCAGCTTCTCTGACTCATAAACAGGGGGAACATTGTGCGTTCTATCCGTGCTTCCCGGAACTGGTGGGGTTTCAAGCAGCTTCGGTTTGTTTGCTAGCTGCTCAAGATCCACAAGAGCGTCGGGATCATACGTCGGGCGATGAAGGTACTCTCGATAGAGCCCAAACTTGTTCACTGCCGTGGTGAACCGGTCGCGCACAAGCAGGGTAACCCGACGGATAGCCAATTCTGGCTCTTCTTCTTCATGTTCTTCCCCGGCCGTGCCAATTTGAGGAGCAGGCGGCAGCTGATCTGGTATCTCATCCCGGAAACGTGCTGGTCTTCTAACAGTTCGTGCCGGCCGACCAGAGAGACGAGTGGATGGAGGAGGATTCGGAAAAGGAGGAACAGGAGGCGGACTCGGCGAAGGTGGATTTGGGGGTGGTGGTGCAGGATCCATGTCGTGGTCATGGTCTTTGGGACCAGGTATAGCAGGTGGAGACCCTGGCGGAGAACCCAGTCGCATCTCGATGTCGGGGTCGGGTTGAGGGGAACACGGCGCAGGAGGATCGGATGGAAAAGGTGTTGATCGCTCTTTCCGACTGCTCAGATCAGTCGTCTTCTTTCTCCTTCCCACTGAGTTCCTCGCTTTCCCCGCTCGGGTGGCTTTCAAGGCTAGTAACGTGTTTTGAGTTGAAGATATGCTCTTGTCGAAGCTGGTGCAAGCCTTCATGTGCGAGGACAAGGCTGAAGCGCTCCCAAAGTTGTGTCCGCAGCCGGTGCACGGAGACATGGCAGAAATCACAAATAAAATCGAGATAAGAACCAGTGCATACATTGTTGGATACTGAAACACAAAAGTTTGATGGCCCAGTAGCCGCAGAGGCTTCACCCCAGGAATAGAGACGGGTACGGGTGAGGGAGAGCAACTACGGAAGTGGGTAAGTCTCAAAACGGACTAGTGCGCAGGGAAATCACTTAGCCATAGAGCAACCGATCGTGATGGCGGCGGCGGTGGAGTCAGCCAGGGGGTACTGAGACCGGGTCATGTTATAAACAAACCAGCGCGCATACACATTGTTTATGTTGATGCAACGTACCGGATGAAAGGATGTGCGGCTGCCAATCCTTCCTTCTCCTCTCCCACCATGTCTCACTTCTCCTCCTCGTTCCCCTCCTCCAGCTCACCCCGTCACCCTCTCACTGACCTGCCGCCCTCATCGCCACAACACTCCTCTGACGACAACATGGCCTTGCGCGAAGTCATCACACTACTCAAGGGTGAGATCCAGCACCTTCGGAAAGAGAAAGCCGACCTTCAGGCGCAAAAGGCGCCGAAGAAGAATGATCCCAGGTAGGACAATTCGCTCAATTTCTGGGGGGATAAGGACAGCGACACTTGGATTGTAGGATCAAAGGCCTGCGCACCACTGGACGGCAGTTCTACCGGGTCGTGCACCTCTTCGAGAGCGCTCACGTTGCAGTTTCCGAGGGTTTGGACCACGAGGCGGCCATGGCCAACAACGAATGGCCTCCTGAAGAGCTTGATGATGACGCTAGTGAGGAGGAGAAGCTCAAGTACGACGACGAGATACGAGAGTGCGTACCTCTTCCTTACTTCTCATGCTCTGGCTGCTCACTGCTGGCAGAGGTGAACGTGCCCACGACACATACAAAGCTTTCCGCAAGCTCATCCCAGAGCTCGACTCCGTTGTCCTGAGCGACAATGTGAAGGATCTGTATGCATCCGTGAGTGACACAGCCTGAGGACCACGAACGACAACTGACATTTGAGAACAGATAATGTCCGGCGCAACAGACGGACGTTCCGAAGACCTGAAGAAGATCACCGTTGCAGTCGCCGAGTATGTCAACGAACGCCAATACAAGATGGACATGGCTGCTGCCGTGGCTGTCACGGATCTGGCGTCCATGGAGTGTGGATCTTCTAACAGGATCCCGGAGCCGCTGACAGTGCCCAAGATTCAGTATGTTGATCCAACCTCGAGACAGGGCCGTGGCTTTCAGAACGATGTGTGCGGGTTTTGGTTATGTCCAGTTGGGATCAACTGGCTGGATGAGAGGTGCGTTCTCTGTTTGTTTGGCTGCAACACAATGCTGACTCAGCCACTCCGTTCTTTCTTCATCTCTCGGCACCTCATAGCATCAGGGCTAAGCTCCGTAACGGCGACAACATCATCAGCGACGGCGTCGAGCTCGACCTCAGTCAGGAGGTCGCCATTCCTTTGTTCTATAAGAATGGAAAGTCGAACGAGCACGATCTCGAGGATGGCTTGTTCATGACCATGCTTCTTGTGAAGGTGTGTCTCATCTTTCTTTCTCCGGTTTGCTCAGCTGACATTCTTTGTTTGTTTTTGAGCTCTATCAAATCATCTTCACTGCTCCGTCATCGGTGGAAGACGAAGCTGCTGATGACAACGATGCCGAGCCGGACAACAGCGGCAACGGACCTCGCAAACGATTGCGCAAGGCCAAGAACCAGACTGCATCGAGTCGCGAAACCAATGCTGAGAAGTCCAACCTGAATGGGAAGGTGACTGGACGCTCAATCGCATACATTGCATGCCTGGTACGTCCGTGTAAGCTAGCGAGTGTCTATATCTGACCTTCCCTAGGCTTACTTTGGTCTCACGAACGCCGCTAACTGGCGTACCCCCCTTGGCAATTCCGTCTCCCTTCCCTACATGTACACCTGGGCTGTCGACTTCTTCGAGGGACCCAAACCCGGTTCACAAGCTCGTGCTCGTGCCGACAGGGTTCTTGAGTGGTGGAACAAGTGTGTCTGTTTTCTTCGTTTTGCTCTTTGTTGCTTGCTCAGCATGGCTCCCGCTTCCAGGAAAGTCTTCCCGCGTCATGTCTCGCGCATCATTGCCCACCCCAATGGCCAGTCGTCGTCTCAGCGGATGCGTGCTCAACGGGCCGCCAAAGAGAACGTCCGTGCCTAGTTACATCCTGTATCTCGTCTACCCGAATGCCACCTTTTTCCTCTGCTCTTTCCGGAATCATGATAGCGCGTTGTCGATAATGATTGAGCTCGAGTGTATGGATTGACTGGGAGGGGCCTGCTCCAGTCCATATAAGCTGGTATTTACTCATGCGAACGGAAGGGACAGCTCAGATTGATCAAGGTGGTGTACATTGTGTGAGCTACGGCGAAGCGGTCAACGACCTCATGAGTTGTTGTCAGGCCGGCGACGACCTTGCGAGGTGCACCCACCTGGTGACAGTCGCCAAGTCGGCGAGATTGACCCGCGGTGCTGAGCTGGCGCCCCGCAGCATGAGATCACCCATCGGCTGGTGACATCATCACGCCAACGGTGAGCCTCACACGGGCTCACCGGCAACTTCTTATTCTCCTGATGGCCCCGCATCCGGGTGATGAGCACGTGTGGGAGCGCCCAAACCGGCACGGGGAAGTGCATTGCCCAAGATTGAAGTTCCGGCAGACCTCAGATGCGTTCGCGGTCGGAGGGGGGCTGCGCTTAGCTGGTGCTGTCTTGTTGCCAGATCCCGATGTGACTGGAGATGCAGTGCGACGGTGCTGATACACGTGCATGCTGAGGAGCCCGACATCCGGATAGGCCCAATTGGCATATAGCCCGTCGATCATGTCATTGCGGCGGCGATTGAAAAAGAGCTCGTGATAGCGCAGAACTGCTTTCCACTCGTACTCAGCCGCAAGGGAGGTAAGGTGGCCGAGGTACCGGTAGAAGTACGTGGGAGCGGATGTCCGAACTGCTGCTGGGACAGCAGGTACAGATGCGAGATGGGCTGTGAGGATCGCAAAATATGTGTGGAGGGGGTGGATGACCGTGGCAGGGCTCGTGTACTGCTTATGTCCAGACACGTTGCGTTCGAAGATGCCATTGGCATTGAGGCTGAACGTCGCCTCCATCTCGTTGACGCGTCCATCCAGCTTATACAAGTCCTGAGCCTTGAGCTCGTGGGAAATGACAAGTACAAGGACGGCCGGCTCGACATCGGGGAAAAGAGATCGAAGGGAGGACGGCGCACCTGCTGGGGAGTCCAGAGGCGGGAGTGGTGGCACAAATTGCATGCCGGACGCGGTACCAAAGGGGCTGGATTGGGATTGTGCGCCAAGGGCGCCCCAGGACGGTGATTGGGAGAAGCCACGGAACGCGGCCGATGTGGCAGGCGCCATAGTGGGTCCGGGAGGGGCGGGTTGCAATGAGGAAGAGGCCGGAGGCTGAGCAGTCTGTTGTGCAGGAGGTGGGGTGGTGGAGTTCACAGCTGGGGGAGCCGGCGGCGAGCTCGTGGAGCCAAACATTGCAGTGAGCTGATCCATGAGATTGGAGACCTTTCCTGAGAGGTCCGCCACTTCGGAGCGAAGCTCTGTGAACTCCTCCGCTGAGATTGAAGGGTCAGACGCGTCACCACTCATGATGATGGGCTGAGAATCGTTGCTGGGGGTCGCGGGTCGCTTCGCAAACTTGCCGTTGACTCGGTATGGTTTTCGAGACTGAGAAGATGCCAGAATCAAGTCGAAAACAGTGAATTAGCGAGTACAACAGAATGTAAGCTGCGAGCGCAACGATGAGACTTGTGTAAGAGACATAAGTAGACGGACTTGCCTGCGAGCGCAACGATGAGACTTGGAGTTCACCGGACACTCGCAGGCAGATATATGTGAGTAAGGACAAAGGCGAGAGGATAAAGGGACAGAGGAGAAAGGGAGACGGCATGAGGGGAAATGAAAGCCACACTGGTACGCATAGCTTTCAGCTGTCAAGGGAAATGCGGCCCATGATCCGCTAGCCTGCTAACCCCGAACAATCACCCTCACCACACCATATTGTTCGCCCACTTTATCTCTTCCATTAAATGGTGGGGTCCCAGACGAATGATCTTCGCAGTGAGATTATTCACTTTTTCGCCAATCGCGTGGCCCGCTTGAAGAAACCAGATGTTCATTGAGCGGCCTATATAGCCTACGACCTGAGACTGGGCGGCTGAGCGATCTGTTGCTATTATCAGTGCCTGAGATTGAGGAATGTAGGTGGTTGTCTGCATCGTGCAGAATCGGTGGGTTGGGAGAATGGTTTGAGGAGAGAACAAGTTGTGCTGCATGCACTGCAGCAGCAGTCATATAAGGCTGTAGGTATGCCCTAGACCTCGAGGGGCGTGAGAAGAATCGAAAGGCTGTGAAATCGTGGCCATGTCCATGTCTCCTTTCTCCTCATTGTAGCTGTGCATCTTACAGTACGAGTGTGGCATGGGCCACGCACCAATGCCGGAACCGGAATGCTTATGTCAACCAGTGAGATGGCGTTTTATTCAAGAGCAGCCTTTGTTCTGGAAACATCGCCGGTACGAATACATTGAGCCCGTACTAGAACGCAGCAAGTACGAGTAAAGAACGTGAGGCAGGCCGGTGCTGCACAGGGATCGTGAGTGCGGGATTGCGAACGGTAGAGTGGTATGAACAACAATATGGGATAAGTTAAGAAACGCATGTAGTATAGTGTTGATATCAGGGGAGTACGTCGCAGACCTCAAGTCGGCGCATACTCAGGCGGGAGATCCAACATACTCTCGCCGATCCTGAAGCCGCTGTCCAGATGTCTGACCGGCACCGCGGTGCGCGTCGACCCAAGGGGCGAGTCGTCCACCGAGTCAGGGCTCATCGGGAAATCAGCCGGCGAGTACCGCGAGGGATGGGCGAGCACATCCCGGATGTACTCGGCCTGCTTGCGAGGGACAGTTGCTCCGTTCCGCGTGACGGGCGAGTACGCCGTGGCCGTGCAAGGTGTCCCGTTTTGGATCGCTAGCTGTGACGCCGCAGCGGGGATGCGGATGCGGAGATCTGGGTTTGAGGTGTTCGAGGGCCCAGCAGAGGGGGAGGAATTCGAGGAAGATGGAATCGAGGATTCGCCCGGCTTCGTCTGCGTGGCTGCGACACTGCGGCCCCCAACGACGGGAGAGGGCGCTGATGGCGGCAGCACGGGCCGGCGGGAAGGCGAAGCGAGAGAGGAAGAGGAGTAGGACGACGTCGAAGGCGCGGGGGAGTGCAGCAGATGCTGTCGTGACGGCGACGACAAGGACGTCGGCGGAATCGGCAAAGCCCTGCCGCTGAGACTCGGGCTAGGGCTGTGAGTGTACATGTATTCAGCGTTGATGGGCTCCAAGTCGCCATCATCCGATCGACGAGGCCGCATCGGCGGCCCGTCCTTCTGCTCCGGAATCAAGTCGAACGACGAGATCGTCCCAAAGTCATGCGTGTCGCGGAAGTGCCCTGCCCGTTTGCGCCGGACGTTGCGCCGGTAGAGCAGGATACAGATGAGCAGGAAGACGAGAAGCACGACCCCGCCGATGGCAGCTGAGATCAGGACGCTCAGGTGGTCCTGCAGGAAAGTGCTTCCTCCACTCGAAGGACTTGGGCTGGGCGCATCGGGCAGGGCCGAGGGGGTGCCCGACCCGGTAGTGATGAGGAAGGGAGGCGGGGCAGCGGTTGGTGCAGAGGTGCTCGGGAGTGGTGCGGAGGAAAATGCGGGCACAGAGGAGGTGCTCGACTGAAGAAGGGAACTAGTCGAGGAAGAAGTGCTGCTAGTAGAAAGCTCCGCGGAAGACGTGGTCAACACACTCGGCTGAGCATCGGCGGTCGTGGTAGTGGTGGTGGTGACCGACGACAGCGATAGGATGACTGCTTGTGTGCGTTGCTCCTGCTGCGAGGCAGTAGAGGACGCTTGCGTCACGGGCAGAGGCGACGATTGAGTGAGGGCATCAGGTGTCGTCTTCCTAGAAGATTCGCTCAGTGGCACCGCTCTTTCGCAAAAGAGTGGCACTCACGTAGACAGTGCATAATCAAAGATCATGATGGCAGGCTGCGTGCCACTCGTCTGCATAAGGAGCGTGTGATCACCCGCAGGCACCGAGGTGTTTTGGTACACCAGCGTATTGTACGCAAAGTTCCCGCTCCCGTCAGACTGGTGCGCGAAGCTCCCGACCTGCACCCCATCAAGCAAGAACACCGTGTCCACACTGCTCGCCAGCCCGGACCCAGCGGCGAAGTTCGGCACGATGAAGTAGACGTACACCGCCGTGCCAGAGAACGAGATGCTAGCGGAGACGGGGGTTCCAAGCGTGCTTAGGTACAGCGCAGCGCTCCACGTTTGGTCAAACGCCGCGCTCGTGTTGGGCACGTCCGCGCACCCGGCGCAGCTCGTCTGGTTGAACCATACTGACTTCTTCCCCGCGGAAGATGCAGGGAGGTACGTCGCTGCGCTATCGTCGATAGTAACGTTCGTGGAGCCCGCGGAGACCAGTGGGAAGAGGATAAGGGACAACATGCCGAGTAAGGCCCACATAGAGGAAAGAGCGGAGGGGGCGCTGGCAAAGCGCATCATGGTCAGAGAGTTGGCCGATGCAGCTTGCACTAAGCTTCACTGAGAGGAGCAGAGGAGGGAGGAGTGGGAGGAAGGAAGCAAAACCGACGTTGTGGGCTTGTTGGCCACATATGCCTACGGGCAGACGCCTGACAGATGAAAATTTGTTCGTCAATCCAAATCCGATGGAACGTACGAGGGAATGTAAGTCAGTCCAACCGAGTGCGATAGCAAAACTGGGCGCTCGGCCCTCAAGTGCCGATCGATGTGTATGTGGGCTCCCCTCAATTCGCCTCTACAGGACTTTCATCGGTTCCAGCTTAGAGATGTAGATATGAGGACGAAAAAAATTGGGATCATGAGATAGACGCTGGGCCGTGGTAACTTTGGCGCTGGACAGACAGCTCTGGCAGATGGACATGATAGTTGGGAGACGAGACTGTCACTCCGGTCACGGTCACAATCAGTGAGCCTCGACCACTGACAATCTCCGCAACATGCTGCATAGCGAAGTTGACAGCAGACACTTTCCTGCAGGGAAATAGCTACCCAATCATAGCCACGGATTCATCCGTCCTCGTGCAATCGGTTACTTCCTGGAAGTCTGTATGTGAGACGCTTCTACGAGTCATGTGATACGAGAGGCACGTGCTGCATGCTCCGCGGTCAGGTGACGAGGAAACACTGAGTGCACGTTCACTATCATGTATGCCTGCACCACAGAGTCGAGAATTAAACGACGGTATAGAATGCAGTCAAAAATCTGTCTCAACCTCCCCTCGGCCTTACTTTGTCGTTCCTCAACTCCAACGGCCTGGGCTTGCCATGCACTCTCTCATACACACCGCAAGCGTTGCACACGCCCTCCCCCGCCCTGTTCTTCCTCCAAAGCGATGTCCTTCGCGTACCGCAGTGGGAGCAAGATCGCGAGTCCTCCGGCAACGCGGCATCTGCCACAGTGCCCGCAGAGGAAGACTCCTCGGCGATATCGAGCTCCACGAGCCGCTGGGGCCGCCGACGGGCACGCTGGGTGAGGTAGACGCCGCAAGCGTTGCAGAGCAGAAGATGGTTCGTTGGGTCGCGGCGCCAGGCCGGTGTCGTGGTCGTCCGGCACTGCGAGCATCGCTTGGTGTGTACATCCGGGGGTGCTGGCTCGAGCGCAGATACGTGGGGTTGGAGCTCGAAGTCTGGCATTGTCTGTGGGACTTGAACGGGATAAATTCTGGGAGATTCGGGTCCGAAAGGTGTCGGATAACGAGTATCATTGCGCGTCGCAGATGTCAGCATCGTCTCGCGCGGACTGATATAAAGCTGTTGCGAGTAGTACGATGGAGGTGCAGTAGCCGTTCCTGAGCTTCCACCAGCGCTCAAAATCTCTTGTGGAGAAAAGCGTGGCTTTGTCCCACCTGGGAGCAGGAGAGAGATGTCAATTCACGGCTGGAGAGGTATCGCAGGAACGAATGAGACTGAATCACCTGCACGTGGCTGCCCCGCGGATGGATTCAGCTCTCTCGCCTGTTTGAAATTGTAGTTTTGACTCATGGACGGTGCTCTGAAGGAGTACCCGCACTCCTTATATTGCGCGAAAAATGCTCAATACACTCTGGAATCCGCAGCCCTCCTGGGATGATTCAACAGGGTAGAGCCAATGACACAAGATGCAGTTATCAGCACCTCGAGTTTTGCGCATGGTACTCTACAGCTGACCGTCCGGCTCAAACGCGAACTTGACTCGGACATAGATTGTCGGCGGATGTCGGAATGATTGGCGGGAGGATCGGATCAATCCTGTGAATTTAGAGGTCTTGACGCACTACGCTCCCAATTCCAGATGTTACAAATGAGTTTCTTTTCGTATCGAAATCTTTGCTGCTGAATATTAATTTGAAATTGTTCCATCAGGTACAATTGATTGGAGACGCAAAAGCCTCAAATCCTCATCAGCAGCGCATCAAACCGGAGCTACACGGCACGGCCTGTTGATCAGCGGTGGGCCCAAGAATTCCCCGACATGCGCAGCAGCTGCGGGATGTTCTGCGTGAGTTTTGCCCAACTATCACTTAGATTGAATTCAAAGGCTTGATCCTCTTCCGAGGCCTTACAGCAATATGTCTGGACCCTGATAGCGTCGATTCGGCACCGGTCGGCATCAGTGCGACAAGGATTGTTCAGATTTTACAAAAGTGCTCCTTCCAGTTGGGCTCATTTTGCAAGAGAGCTTCACCTCTAATGACTTTCAACATTCGTCCAATTATAGGATCTCTGTTTGCGAGCAAAGCGACAGCTTCTGATTCTGATTTTGTACTATTTCATTTCTGAGATGACGATACGTACTTGGATAAAATAAATGGAACAGGTACATCAGAGGGCATATTGCCCACGGACATGCGAGCAAACTTTCTGGGCTTCCTGAAGCATATCCTCAATCTCCTTGACATACGTATCTTCATCCCGCGGTGCGCTCTCAGCCAACGCATGGAGATGCGTTCGGATCACCGTCCAAGTCGGATCTATCTCAGCGCCAAAGGCAAGGAGCAGTGCGATGACATCCCGCCGCGCTGGATTGAGCGGCATCCCTCTCCACGGATTGTCGGACTCTGCCTGGCGATAATACGAGTTCCCCGGCATCGGGAGGTCGAGCGCCAACAAGAGGACCGGCCCGGCCGTGGGCCCCGGCGGAGTCCCAGCCAGCCACCCCGTGACCACATTCGCTCGGGCATTGGGGTTCGCGCCTGCGCCGAGCAGGAACGCGACAACCGCCGGGTGGCAGCCCTTGACTGCATGGGCAAGCGCGTCGCCGTAGGTGCCCCGCTGCTCGAGACTGGCTCCGCGTGCCACGAGCATCTGGGTCCTCTCCAGATCCCCGATATAAGAGGCGTAGTGGATGACTGTTTCCGTGGAGCCGTCAAAAAAGTACTTGGCGTTGATGTCCGCCCCGTGGTCCAACAGCAGACGCATCGTGTCCCAATCGTGGTTATACGCGGCGAGGAACAGCGGCGGCTCGTTCTCATAGTCATTACGAGGAAATGATGGATCCGCGCCATGCGACAGGAGAACTTGAGCGACATCGCGATGACGATTGCTCACGGCCATCTGCAGTGGAGTGTTGCCGCTGCTCGGGGGCAGAGTCAACGACACACTGTATGGCGGGGAGATAACCTTGAGCACTGTATTGACCTTCCCAGAGGCGCACGCGGCCAACAAGACCTCCTCTGCGACAGTGGGAGTAAGTCGGGCGTCGAGATCGGGCTGGAGGACTGAATTCAGCCCACGACAGCTTATCGCGAGCGATCCCAGCGATCCATCGGACAAATCGCGAGATATGAGCAGTAGGAGCTCCGTAGGCAACCCAGTCAAATATCCAGACATTCTGGGAGTGGATGGAAGGTGTGTGAAAGTGGGAGATGAGCAGCCGTTTAAATTCCAGCTTCATCCGACATTGACAGGTGGAATTGCCTTGCTTGTCAAGGCTTCTCCAGACCCTAAATTCGTGCATCAATCAGATCCCATCACTGATGAAGTCAATCAGATGACTCTGTTCCGGATTCCGATCCGATCAATCGTACCTTCGTCTTGAGTATGTCATGGTCTCATTCACTCTTCACTCTTATCTTTGTACTTATGCTCCCTGCTGTTGCTGGCATTATAGCGCGGCAAGGCAGTGTAATTTATAGTTCCATGCACAATGATGACTCTCTTTTGCAGTGTGCACCCACCTGTGGGCTGTTTTTGTTTCTGCTTGTGTCACTCTCTAACCGCGCTGCTTCACATGCCACCACTGTGCACACAAGCACATACACCGCATGATGTTGTCTTGCCTCATCCAGTCTCTGCCGGTGGTGCCTGATATGGACAAGAGCCTGAAGAAGACGAGAGCATCTGGCGCTTAGTTACGACTGCGCTGGTATTTTACTTGTTTTATTATGTATAAATTCGATTGTATGGATTTAATCGGCAAGCAAGGCATGATGTCGGCGGAGCCGACACTTTCTAGTGGACAGCCCGACACGATGCTGACAACGAAATGATCCCATCAGATTAGATAAGGAGATTCCCTTGCTCGACAATCAATATCGCATTTGCTCTCTGAACTCATCGAATGACGATACTTAGAATGTTCCTGAATTCCGCAAAATCGGAATGATCCGATTTTCGCCTGAAATCCTGATCAGCAGCGAATCAAACCGGAGCTACACGGCCTGGCCTGTTGATCAGCGGTGGGTCCAAGAATTCCCCGACTGCGGGATGGTCTGCGTGGGTTTTGCCCAACTATCACTCAGATTGAATTCAAAAGCTTGATCCTCTTCCGAGGCCTCACAGCGATATGCCTGGAATCTGGTAGCGTTGATTCGGCACCGGTCTGTATCATGGGAGGGCGCGACCAGGATTGTTTAGATTTTACGTAGGTACTCCGTCCAGTGGGGCTCATTTTGCAAGAGAGCTTCACCTCTCATTACTTTCAACAGTAGTCCAATCATCGGATCTCTGATTGCGAGCAAAGCGACAGCTTTTGATTTTGATTTCGTAGTACTACTTCATTTAGATGACGATGGAGAAAAAACGGAACGAGTGCATCAGAGGGCGTATTGCTCACGGACATGGGAGCTAACTTTCTGTGCTTCATGAAGCATATCCTCGATCTCCTTGACATACATATCCTCATCCCGCTGCCCTGCGCTCTCGGCCAACACATGTAGGTGATTCCGGATCACCGTCCAAGTCGAATCTGTCTCTGCGCCAAAGGCAAGGAGTAGCGCGATCACATCCCGCTGGGCTGGATCGAGAGGCATCCCTCTCCACGGAGTGAAAGACACCCCTCTCCACGGATAGTCAAACTCCGACTGACAATCCCACAAGTTCCCGGGTATCGCGAGGTCGAGCGCCAGCAAGAGGACCGGCCCGGTCGTGGGTCCCAGCGGCGTTGCAGGCAGCCACCCCGTGACTAGATTCGCTCGGGCATTGGGGTTCGCGCCTGCGCCGAGCAGGAACGCGACGACCGCCGGGTGGCGGCCCTTGACTGCATGACAAAGCGCGTCGCCGTAGATCCCCTGCTGCTCGATATTAGCTCCGCATGCCACGAATATCTGGGCTTTCTCAAGATCCCCGACATTGCAGGCGGAGTGGATGAGCGTCTCGGGTAAGCCGTTGAAGAAGTATTCGGCGTTGATGTCCACCCCGTGGTCTAACAGCAGATGCATCGTGTCCCAATCTTGGTTGTACGCGGCGAGGAATGCCAGCGGCTCGTTCTGGTAGTACTCGCAACGATAATTGGGATCCGCGCCATGCGACAGGAGGATCTCAGCTACATCGCGATGGCAATGGGTCACGGCCTCCTGCAGCGGAGTGTTGACGCGGCCCGAGGGCAGAATCACCGGCAGAGTCGCCGACACATTGTATGGCGGGGAGATAACCTTGAGCACTGTATTGAACTTCCCAGAGGCGCACGCGGGCAACAAGATTTCCTTTGCGACAGTGGGAGTAAGGCGGGCGTCCAGATCGGACTGGAGGACTAAATTCAGCCCACGACAGCTTATCGCGAGCGATCCCAGCGATCCATCCGACAAATCGCGAGATATGAGCAGTAGGAGCTCCGTGGGCAACCCAGTCAAATATCCAGACATTCTGGGAGTGGATGGAAGGTGTGTGAAAGTGGGAGAATGAGCAGTCGATTATGTAACTGCTAGCTTGATGTGCTTACGACATTGACAGGCGGTCTGACTCGATGATGACGTCATACGGCTCTGATTAGATTAGATTCCCTGGCTTCACAATCAATATCGCACTTGCCTGCTGAACTCATCGAACGACGATAGACTGTTTCTTAATTTCGCAGAATTGTACCCTTGAAAATCATCCTCATTTCCAAACACCGAGATACGCTTACCGCACAGACGGCGGTTCCGAATGCAATCGGAGTTCCGCTGATGGGTAGGCATTGACCTTGGTAAGCAGCGGGTATGGTGGGGGACATCACTTCATGTCACACCGCATTTTTGCGAATTTTGACCTCAAACATGGCTAGATCTTCCACAAATGTGTAAGAGTGGGGCAAATCTGAAGTTTCAGACCGTGGGAAAATATTTCTCGGCTAACGGCCAAATCCACGATTGGAGTCGAACTTTTGATCCCTGAGGGAACACATTCGGGTGAGCGAGAATGGTATTGGCTCTGTGGTGAAGTGGCCAGAAGCAGTTCTGGAGCGGAAGGGCGCTTTTTTGCGGCAGGGCATGACTTTTTGAGTGTTAAGGGCACGTCGGGATGGCTCGGGTCACTGCCAATCACAGCCATCAATAAATTTCCTTTTTGGTCACGGCCAAATCCAAACCGAAATCTCGAACCTGAATTTTTTTAAATCTGTCCCATGGGATATCTTGTACCTACTCATAGCTATATATTTGCATAGTTTCAATAAGTTTGAGGCTCAGCTTGGAGCTCCATTCACGGCGGGGTTTTGATCAGATCACTTGTCACGAAGTGATGTCCCCCACCATAAAGCCCGAGAGGCATTCTTCCTCTCTCCATGAAAACTGGCATCGATTCTCCACCCCCATAGGTTGCATAAAATGAGCTGCACTCGGCGCCGAAGTCGTCGTTCGATGCGCCGAATCTTCCGACGAGGAACAGATTATCCGGATCGTGCAGGAGTGTCTTTGGAATGGATGTGCGCTTCCTCTTCACACACAAAAATTCTCTTCATGATTTTATCTGCTTCGCAGCTGGCTCCGTCCGCAGCGCGTGCTCGAGACGGCAAATAAGCAGAGCCGCATGTGCCTCCGCTGCAGCATCGACTCCGTTCCTCCTCATGCTCTGGAGACGGGACCGCGCCTTTCTCCCGCTTTGCCTCCGAGCTGTAGCGTTCTTGCTCCTTATAATTTTCTGTTGGACCTTTCATGCACTGTCAGTCATCAACCGTTTCTTCGCCAGCTGGGCGAAGAGGCCGGCACATCAGATTTGAAACACGCTGCATCGAACGTCGAGTACTTGGGTCCGGAGGGCGGGTTCTGGGTTGCCGTCACGGACGGGGATGAAGAGCGCGTTGTGGGTTGCGTCGGGCTCTTGGAGAGCTTCCCGCGACGGATAGGAGATCTTCAGTCCTCTCGCTGGACACTTCGGAGCTGCAGATTTCCGCGCAGAGATTCTACGACAAACATGGGTTCAGGATGGTCCGACGATGGATGATACAGATAGGGTTCGGGATTACAGTGGGTATGTTAGACTATGAGTACTGCAGAGCATTCGAAAGCAACAAGAAAGCATAAAATGATAGATGACCACAACCACTCCCTTCAGACCTCGGTGAAGTCGCGAAGAGTCTGGCTCGGGGCCAAGAACGCCCAAGACCTTTCAGGGAGCACGGCTAAGTATGGAGGCCGGGAACTATATGCTGATAAACGGAGGACGTATCACTGATACGCGATAGTTTGCCGACATAGGATCAATTTCATGATGCGCTCCATGTCATGATGCGCCTATCTGGACGGCTGAAAACGTTATACTAATAACCGATGTCTGAATCGTGGATGGCCGCTCGGCAGATATTGATCAGATGATTGACGCAATGATCAAGACCCCAGGTAGCCGACTATCGCAATATCGCAACATCGTAATATTCGAAAAGCGCAACATTCGAGATAGGATCAGCGGCCGGGTCGCCGGCGCGAGCAGGCTCGTCGCAAGTCCGGACTCCCAGGCGACATTCCAGGGCAGCGGTTCGTACGTCGTGTTCGACTGGGGAAGGAGGTGCGCGGCCTCCCTGATACAGCGCCGTCGAGGGTCAATTCACACACCCATACTGTAGCTTGGGGGGATCCTGTCGCTGACGATCAACAACGCGACGGCCCAGTCGCAGTTCTCACTGTCGTTCACCGAGTCCGCGGAGTTCATCAGCCCGCTCAAGTTGGACGACTCGTGCCAGCCCGCACGGCTGCAGAACTGGGACAGAATCCAGACGTTCCACGTGCCGCGAGCCACGGGGCTGCTGACGCAGACCGTGGGACAGCAGCGCGGCGGGTTCCGCTTCCTGACGATTGTGAGTGCGAGCGCGGACCCGCTGACGATCTCGAACATCTCGCTGGCGATCACGTTCATGCCCCACTGGGATGATCTCAGGGCGTACCCGGGCTACTTCTTTGCACCTGACCCCGGGTTCCACGACATCGACTTCCTCACGAAGATCTGGTACGCCGGTGCGTCATCGCCTGTTTGCTGGCTGATGTGGCAGAGCGTGGCGTGGGTGGGGGCTGACCGCTAGCAGGCACTATAGGGTGCAGACCAACACAATCCCTCCCCACACGGCGCGACAGGAGCCGTGCCCAGCAGGAGGTTCGTGTCGGCGTGGATCTGAATTTTGGACTCAAACTGTGCGATCACATTTGTAGGTGGCTGGTCCAACGATGCCTTGGGAGGAGCTGCCA